GCAACTAAGCCCGTGGGCCACAACTACTGAGCCTGTGCTCTAGAGCCCGCAAGCCACAACTACAGAAGCCCGCATGCATAGAGCCCGTGCTCCACAAGAGAAGCCACCGCAATAAGAAGCCTGCACACAGCAACGAAGAGCAGCCCCCACGTGCCGCAACTAGAGAAAGCCCACGGGCAGCAACGAAGACCCAGTGCAGCCATAAATAAATAAATAAATAATAAATAAATAAATAGGTTTGCTAAAAAAAAAATTAAAATACATTAAAGTATCCCGAGAAAAGAACATAGATATGGAGGACTGACAAAGAAGTCAACATCTGAATAGTAACTGGAGCCTCTGAAGTGAAGACAAAACATATAGAACAGGAAATATATAGATACATAATGTAGAAATTTTTTCTTGCAGGAAGGAGGAATCTCAATTTGAAAGGGAGCATCATAGGTAGTGGGGAAGACTGAAAAAGAAACATCAACCTCCAGACATACTCTGGTTAAGTAAGTAATTTCAAGTATAATGAATGATATAATTTCTAAAGAAACAAGTTAGAAAAAAAAGCAAGTCACTCACAAGGAGAATATAAAACACTGATAATATTCAAAGTGTCAGTCTCCCCTTAAGCAGGGAGCCCTGGCAGTGGAAGGACCCGAATCCTAACCACCAGACTGCCAGGGAATTCCCCCGCCCCAGCCCCATTTTTTTCTGGCAGGGAATGTTTTTAATTAAAGGAATACTGTGGAAACAAATCACTTGTACTCCCAAAAGATTTTGTTCATTTAAGCACTTGTAAATAACTTCTTTCAAAAGACAAAGATACAAGAAATGGGGAATTCCCTGGCAGTCCAGTGGTTAGGACTCTGCGCTTTCACTGCCAGAGCCTGGGTTCAATCCCTGGTCCGGGAACTAAGACCTCACAAGCTGCTCGGTGCAGCCATTTATAAACAAAGGTGGCGGGGGGGGGGCCTGGTGGTCCGGGGTAAAGAATCCACCTTACAATGCAGGGGACTCTGGTTCGACCCCTGGTCAGGGAACTAAGATTCCACATGTCGTGGGGCAACTAAGCCCGCATGCCACAACTACTGAGCTCGCGCGCCTCAACTAGAGCCCGTGTGCGGCAAACTACAGGGCCAACGAGCTCTGGAACCTGCGTACCACAACTACAGAGTCGAAGCGCCCTGCAGCCTGAGCATCACAACTAGATAAGATAAAACCCGGGCTTCCCTGGTGGCGCAGTGGTTGAGAGTCCGCCTGCCGATGCAGGGGACACGGGTTCGTGCCCCGGTCCGGGAGGATCCCACATGCCACGGAGCGGCTGGGCCCGTGGGCCATGGCTGCTCGGCCTGCGCGTCCGGAGCCTGTGCTCCGCAACAGGAGAGGCCACAACAGTGAGAGAAAAAAAAAAAAAAAAAATTACACTTAGCGAAGAGAAAACCCACATGCCACAGCTAGAGAAGCCATGAAGAGCCCACATGCCACAACAAATGATCCCGCATGCCTCAACGAAGATCCCACATGCTGCAACTAAGACACAACGCAGCCAAAAGTAAATAAATAAAATAAAATAAATAATAAACATTTTTAAATAAATTTTCAAAATTTCTGAAAAAGAAAAGAGAAAAAGATACAAGAAATGAAGCAAAGAAACCTTCTCCTAAATTAAGCTGTCATTAAGAGCAAACTGTAACTCTGACAACAAAGGGTAAAATTCCTATGCTGAGTTTTCCTGACCTTTTTTTCTTTCAGTTTTACTGAGCTATAATTGACATACAGCACTGTAAATTTAAGGTATACAGCATAATTACTTGATTTACACATATTGCAAACTGATTACCATGATGAATTTAATTAACATCCATGACTTTATACAGTTATATGGGGGAGGGGGTTTTCTTGTGATGAGAACTACTTTCTTAGCAACTTTCAAATATACCATACAACAGTGTTAACTATATTCACCATGTTGTACATTACATCCCCACTACTTATTTATCTTATAACTGGAAGTTTGTACCTTTTGACTACCCTCATCCAGTCCCCCCCCACCAACCCCCTTCCTCTGGTAACCACAAATCTGATCTCTTTTTCTGGAACTGACATTTCTTGCTACAAGTCATTTTAAAACCCACCTAAAATGTAAAGGTTTGTTTGTCAAGAACTATAAAACATGTTTAGGTAATGACAATAAATCACAAAGCATGGCTGGTATAGGAAATGATAGCCCATAAACTGTATTAGCTCAAATTTACTTCAGATATAATTAATTTCTCCACTACAACACACAATGCCATAAGACAAGTACTGAGAGAAAAAAATGAGTATCAAGATTATTATACATAGCCATTCTGATGTTTGAGTATATAAAGGCAACAAATAAACATTCTCAATCATGAAAGAATGCAAGGAATATAGAATCCAAAGCCCTCCTTAAACAAAAAAAACACTTGAAAAAGAAAAAATAAAAAAGAATTAGCAGTAATCACTGAATCCAACTATCAACACATATAGGACTAAGCTAAATAACAGGAGTGGTGGGACATGAGGCAGGGAGATGTCTACAGATCTGAAAGGAAGAATAATATAAGCATCAAAATTCAGGAGGTAGAGGGTAGTGTACGTGGGCCTCTCACTGTTGTGGCCTCTCCTGTTGCTGAGCACAGGCTCCGGACGCGCAGGCTCAGCGGCCATGGCCCACGGGCCCAGCCGCTCCACAGAATGTGGGATCTTCCCGGACCGGGGCATGAACCCGTGTCCCCTGCATCGGCAGGCGGACTCTCAACCACTGAGCCACCAGGGAAGCCCCCATATAGTTTTATTTCTGTTTCATTTTTTAAATGTTTCATTCAAGTAAAATTAAAGTTAATATTCAATTCTTTTTTTTTTTTAAGTAATTTTATTTATTTATTTATTTTTGGCTGTGTTGGGTCTTCGTTTCTGTGCAAGGGCTTTCTCTAGTTGCGGCGAGCGGGGGCCACTCTTCATTGCGGTGTGCGGGCCTCTCACTATCACAGCCTCTCTTGTAGCGGAGCACAGGCTCCGGACGCGCAGGCTCAGCGGCCACGGCTCACGGGCCCAGCCACTCCGCGGCATGTGGGATCCAGGGAAGCCCAATATTCAATTCTTATGAATCAAAACTTACATATTATATATATATATATTTTTTTTTTTTTTTGCGGTACGCGGGCCTCTCACTGCTGTGGCCTCTCCCGTTGCGGAGCACAGGCTCCGGACGCGCAGGCTCAGCGGCCACGGCTCACGGGCCCAGCCACTCCGCGGCATGTGGGATCTTCCCAGACTGGTGCACGAACCCGTGTCTCCTGCATCGGCAGGCGGACTCTCAACCACTGCGCCACCAGGGAAGCCCCATATTATATTTTATACACTCAAATATTATATAATTATAATTTCACTTTAGTTGTATTTTCTTCTAATAAATTCAAATAAAAATTAATTTAATTACAAAGATGTTCAACATAATCCTATCCTTAAAAATAGTCCATTCATTTTTCTAGTCAGCCATCTAGTCTTCCACTAAACATACACATAGAGAATTATCTAGAATGTTAATCAAATGTTAACAACTGCTTATTTCTGAGGGGGTTAGATTTTAGGTATTTTGTTGCTTTATTCTTTCTACTTTTCTGTATTATTTGGACTTTAAACAAGCATGTACTGTATTTATAAACATGACACAATTTTTTCTTTTTTAAATCAGAAAAACAACTATTTGACCATTATAATCTTTTCCCAGAGTTTCACCAGCTGGAGAGTCAGCCCAGGAAGAATATCTTTTAGCCTAGCCAAAAAACAACACCTCAATGCGGAAGTGCTGCTATATCAACAAGGACACAAAACCTCAATGTAAGCTTTCTAGGTTTGAAAATTTTCTCTCTTCGGGCTCAGCAGTACCTGACTGAATAGACCGTATCATTAACAGATGTATGGTATCTGCAGAAACACCCCCAAAATCTCATACCTTCACAACAGGATGTCCCCCAGTAGATGCTTTCACTGCTCCTCGGCTACCTTCAGTTTCATAATGGGCTCGATGATGAGTTTTAGGTTGCACTTCTATTTTCAGTTCATATTGCCCAAAATGAGTTGGTAAAGGCCAGTCTAGTGGAGGTAATGAAGACGTGCTATATACAAAACACACAAAGATGCATTTCACCACACTAGTATTGTCAAGCAATGATTCAAATTACTTGCACCAACATTTCTTCCCATGATCATTGAAGCAAACTATTCAAAAAATAAAATAAAAAAAACAAAACATCACTTAATAAGTTATAACACTGGATATGGTTGGTGTTTAAGAAATAATTCTTTAACCTGAAGAATAAAATCAATTTTATCTACTTTTTAGTTTCGTATATATACTTTTTAAAAGGATAAATTCTAACATTTCATAAACTGTAACTTTCTCAAATATGTGTATATAATTACAAAAACAATCAAAATTTAAACAGCTTAAAGGGGAGAGGTTCATTTAGATATATTAGCATTGAAAATATGGCATTAGAAAAGAAACAACTTCTATGTCCACAGGTCAAATATTAATGGACCCAAACCTAGAATGATTTGTATTAGAAAGTAGTATCTTCTTAACAATTGGTGAAATGGGACTTTAAAGGTCTCTTCTACCTTTGAAATGCTATCATGCCTACAGTAAATTCCTAAAGCATTTCATTACTTCCTTGAATGTCCTCAGCCTAGCTTTACCAGCTACTCTGAAGCTCAAAGGTATTAATTTTTATTAGTCTGAAGCAACAACTCAACTTCATCAACTCTCAGCGAGTTTCTGCACTTGTTCAAGCAAACCCTTAAAAAGATTAAGACAATTTTCAGATGCAAAGTGATGGGCTCAAAGGAATCTTCAATACCATAATTCCACATTATATTTTTCTAAAGATCTAGATCCAGAAATAAACATTCATACCAACAAAAAACCATTTTTAAAAAAAGTAAACAGACCCACCTCCATGTGGGGATTTAATACGTGGTAAGTTGTCTTTTCTAATCAATTATAGACTAGATTGATTCTATAAATGGCATTGTGGTAACTGATAAGCCATTCAGAAAATAAAGTCATTACAACAGTCTTCACTCCAGTCCTTAGCCGGACTCACAATTCAAAAAACAAAAAAATTATATACATACATATATATATATATACATATATATATGTATATAAAATTTATAAATGCAAATACTACATATGTTATGTATATATATTATAAAAATTATACATAAAAATTTTGTTAGAAACTCGTGAAAGTTAGATTTTTTTATTTGTAGTTACTTTAGAGTGGGGTAGGCTTTCAAATATAACATAAAATCCAAAAGCTGTGAAGGAAAAGACAAACTTGAATATATAAAATTTAAAATTCCTCTACAACAACAACAAAAAAAAATCACAAACTTATAAAGTGAAAAGACAAAAAAAATTATGGGAAAAACCACTTGCTACAAATATAAAAAGCAAATTTCACTTGTATATTGAGTTCTTAAAAATATAAAAAGCCTATTCCCAAGTGTTTTTTCTTTTTTTTTTTTTGCAGTACACGGGTATCTCACTGTTGTGGCCTCTCCCGCCGCGGAGCACAGGCTCCGGACGCGCAGGCTCAGCAGCCATGGCTCACGGGCCCAGCCGCTCCGCGGCATGTGGGATCCTCCCAGACCGGGGCACGAACCCGTGTCCCCTGCATCGGCAGGCGGACTCCCAATCACTGCGCCACCAGGGAAGCCCCTTAAGTGGTTTTATTAGTAATTTAATTTATACTATAATCAATCTTTTACAAGAAGCTTTTGTGGATAAGAAAATTCATTCTAGGGATTCTTAAATGTAATTAATTTGCTATTATCTACAATTCATTATACACTTTTAAAATTATAACTTTAGCCTATCTAAAGACACTTTTAAGACTAAAAGGAAAATAAATGTGGACTTTGTCTGGAAGAAACTGAAGAAAAAAAAGGAGGAGGAAGAAAAACGGTCAAATAATTCTATACAGATAATGTAGTTACATGCCACTAATAACACATAAACATGAAAAATGACCATCATCTATTTCCATCAACTCACCGAAATATAGGGGTGTGACCAGGCTTTGGTTTGCTCCAGGTAAAGGGTGAAGGAACTGAAAGAAATTGGTCACCAGATGAATCTTTCTTTAAAGGATACTGAGATCCAAGGCCATCATCTATTGAAGTTTCCCGGGATGGTGAAAGATTCCCTTGGTCATCTGAACAGAGCTCTAATTTTCCTGGTAGTACGGTAGCTTGATCTTCAGAAGTCTTCCTTGTTTTCAGAGGAATATCAGTCTCTACACAGTAGTGAAATGGAAAAAGTGCAGGGCCAAGGCCTGATCCACCCTGGACAGAAGCATTGAGCCAGGTATCTTCTGTTACACTTCCCCTGGGGGAGTGACCAGGAGAAGGAACAGGTGAGTGATGAGGCGAAAGGGACCCAGCATAACAAACCTCAGCACTAGAGTGCCGCCGTTTCCCACAAGGGGAAGTAGGCCTTGATGAGGGTCCTGAGGCTGGCCTGGGGCTCAGCCAATTCTCATCAGTGACACTAGATCTAGGAGAGTGGCAAGGAGATTGCCTAGGTGACAAGGAGTGTCCAAGTCCATACTGTTGATTCCAGGACTCTTCTCCAGGGCAGCCTCCTGGGGAGCCACCAGGAGAAGTCAGAGGGGATCCGAGAGTAAATCGGGCAGCAGCTTCATTCAACTCCGAATCCACATCATCATAAATATGTGAAAGAGATTCACAAGAAGACGCATCTGAGAACCAGCTCCTAGAAGAGATACTGCTGGCAGGACTAGGACTAAGGGAAGACTCCCGGTAGGATGGCTCAAGAGGAAGATAGAGATGATCTCTAGAAGGCCTTTCCAAATATTCCCTTTCTGGGTCATTTATGTGTAGGTCATCTTCATGAGTATCAATTTCTTGATGACAGTTAGGAGAGATGGATGTAATTTGAATACTTGGGCACTCAAAGGGTTTGGGACCACCTAATGGGCTGTATTTAGATTCAGGAATTTCACAAGTTCCTTCATAGTTTTTGTGACCTTGGAGCTGAAACGATGATGACAAAACAGAAGAGTGAGACGGTAATCCATGATGTGGTAAGCAAAGTGGTGAGTTTAAAGTAGATGGAGGTGGATCTACATTAAAGATGTAAATGGATGCACAATCATCTGGCTCAAGATCTATGGGGGTTGGGGGGAGCAAAAAAGAAAAAAATTAACAAAACAAGAAATTAGAAATCTTAGATGTATAAATTACTAGATGAGAACGTAAATAATAATAATCTTGAGAGGAAGAAAGTGGGACATAAAATGTACATTAGCTCCACTGAAGAGTGGTGTATCTGTGTGTGTGTTTTAATGTATCTGATTATTTCTGCAGATATACATAATTATCACATATTTAATTTTTTCTCTTTTTCTGTATTTCCGTATTTTCTAAAATAAGAATCTGAAAATAAATGCTTTTATAAAAGAAATAGTCATATCCATAATTCTAAAAAATACTCACAGAATTATGTAATGGTATGATCATATAAATTCAGCCTCATCTGGGGTCTGCAGGTTAAAATGGAGTAAAGGATAAAGCAGAGTCTTTGAAAGGTTTTTAATTATAAGTATACACACTAGTTTATTAATGCAAAATATTACAGACTGATATTCAGGAGACCTAGACACTAGCCTACCTCTGCCATTAGTTGTGAGCTTAGTCACATATTTTAATCTCTCCAAGGCCTCAGTTTCCTTGCAATAAAATTCAGGAAATGTTTATGATGAACAGAATGAGTTCTTCCCTTCACAGTCACACCATCAAGAATTCATATCTTTGGTCATGGCAAACCAGGTTACAAAAGACACATGACCCCACTGGATCCTTCACCTCAACTAGAAAATAACTCAACAGGGCTTTTAACTATTGATTAATTGTTAAAGTAATCCTCATAAAGGCAGAACTTTTAAAATGTACCCCTTGCTAGAGTATTTAACACTAAACAAGTCCTGCCAAATTACCTACTGAGTGCGCCTGCAGCAATAAGGGTATTTTTGCAGCTTCACTTTTAGGAAGGAGCGATTATTTTCCATTTTCACAGAGGCAGAAGTAGTACTAACCCCTCATACAAGGTGCTGGTTGAACACCTTCACTTTTTCCAAAGAGATCATCACTGGGAAACCAAAGACAAAACTGTTCATAGATACAATAAAGAGAAGCACGAATCTGTAGCCTCTTCTCAAAAGTACTCAAGTAGATCACATTATTTAATTACATAAGTACCAGTGGAAAATAACAAACACATGTCTTTAGACTCTTGGTGTTGTCATTAGCCAGCATCCTATAATTTAACTACCTCCATAAGTCCTAGATTTGGGAGCTTTTAAGATGTTCTGTGGTTAGTGAACATACTCAGTAAAGTTCTTACATATATTAAAACAACAAAACAAAACCCCTAGGTTTAAACCCTGGCTCTGCCTTTCCACCACTGTGTGAACATGGACAAGTTACTTAACCTGCTTGAACCTCAGTTTTCTGAGGCACTTTTTTCTATAAAACTGGAAGGCTGTGAGTAGAGTATTACCTGAAATGCACAGGACCATTTTAAGGCAAGCAACCTAACACAATGACTAATATTTAGCAAGAACCCAATACATACCTTATTTTTTTTTAATTCTGAAATATTTCCTAATAAATTGAAACACCTTTCTAAGTATACCACTCACTCCACTCTCTCAACCTGAATCAAGAGAAGAAGGAAATCAGAACTCCAAAGAAGAAAACCCATCTGTGACTTAGATAAAAAGCTGAAGGGGGCTTCCCTGGTGGCGCAGTGGAATCCGCCTGCCAATGCAGGGGACATGGGTTCAAGCCCTGGTCTGGGAAATTCCCACATGCTGTGGAGCAACTAAGCCTGTGCGCCACAACTACTGAGCCTGCGCTCTAGAGAGCCCACGAGCCACAACTACTGAGCCCGCATGCCGCAACTACTGAAGCCTGCCTGCCTGGAGCCCGTGCTCCACAAGAGAAACCAGCGCAATGAGAAGCCTGTGTACTGCAATGAAGAGTAGTTCCCGCTCGCTGCAACTAGAGAAAGCCCACGCGCAGCAACGAAAACCCCAAGACAGCCAAAAATAAAAACAAGTGAATAAATTTATTGAAGAAAAGGGGAAAAAAAGCTGAAGGGAAAAGCTATTAAAAATAAACAACAAGGACTTCACTGGTGGCACAGCGGTTAAGAATCTGCCTGCCAATGCAGGGGACACAGGTTCGAGCCCTGGTCCGGGAAGATCCCACATGCCATGGAGCAACCAAGCCCGTGAGCCACAACTACCAAGGCTGCATGCTGCAACTACAGAAGCCCGCACGCCTAGAGCCCGTGCTCCGCAACAAGAGAAGCCATCGCAATGAGAAGCCCATGCACCACAATGAAGAGTAGAAAGCCTGTGGACAGCAAAGAAGACCCAACACAGCCAAAAATACAAAAATAAATAAATTTATTTTAAAAATAAACAACAAAATGAAGAGGTTTGGGGGAAAATGGGGAGTGACTACTAATGGGTGTTGGGTTTCTTTCTGGGGTGATGAAAATGTTGTAACAGTGACTGTGGTAATGGTTGCACTATTCTGTGAATAAACTAAAAACCACTAAATTGTAAACTCTAAATGGGTGAATTGTACAGTATGTAAACTATATCTCAAGAAAGCTGTAATAAATATATAATGAACATAATATGTATATTTTTCACAATTAAAAGTATTTTTTAAAAGTTAAAAAATTTGTTTATCTGACTATAAGAAAATCATCAAAGAAATTGTAAACAAGTGCTATCACCTCACATTTAACATTTTCATGTATGTCCTGGTCTACATGGGTATATATTTTATACAGTTGTGACCATAACAGTTTTGGGTTTTTTTAAAACCTTTTATTAAAGGATAAGGTACATACACAAAAGTACACATATCCTAAGTATATAGTTTGGGTAAGCTGTCACAAACATACACACCCTGTAATAGCTCCCTTTAAAAAAAAGAACACAGGAGGAGGGATAAATTAGGAGTTTGGGATTAGCAGATAGAAACTACTATATAAAAAGTAGATAAACAACAAGGTCCTACTGTATGGCACAGGAAGTTATAGTCAATATCCTGTAATAAACTATAATGGAAACGAATCTGAAAAAGAATATATATATATATATATATATATATATATATATACACACACACATACATACATATCTGAATCTCTTTGCTGTACACCAGAAACTAATACAACACTGTAAATCAACTATACTTCAAAAAAAAAAAGAACATCTCACAAGTCCCCCTTTGGCTCCCTTCCAAGTTATTACCTCTCCCAAAAAAGTAACCACTATATTGACTTCTAACAGTCTAGATTTGTTTTGCCTATTTAACATACAACTTGGTCTTTCAATTTTTTCATATTCTATTGGGCTTTATAAAGTTTCTAAACAATTTTCAAGGCCATATAAAATGTCAAAAGTCAATGATCATAGTTATTTCCTACTTTTTACTCTTATAAATAATGTAGCATTGACATCTCTATACCTATAGCTTTTTATCTTCTTTTGAAGTAGTCTTCAAGGATAAATTAAGGGCAGAGTTACTAGATGACAGGACACACACATTTTTAGCACTCCTATTACACAGACATTTGTTTCAGAAGACTTGTTTTAATTTGCAACATTGGAGGGACATAAGACAGTTTCTTCAACCAAGAGGTTATTTTAAAATTTAGTGTAATTTAGGACTAAAATGGTTCTGTATGAAATATGTTTGTAGGCTGCAAAGAACAGAAAACTGAACTCAAAGTAGCTGAGGGGGAGGGGCAGTATTTTTCATCCAACAATAACACCAGGTCCAAAGGTAGAACATCTCCAGTGTAGGTGTTATTTCTTCAGTTCAACAAAGTCATTAACCAGTTTCTTTCTGTATTCCCATTTTGCCATTTCGCAGGTGCTAACTTTGTCCTATTCACTTTTCAACCATATATGTGTATTTTGCCCTAAAACCACAAGCAATGTGATCATTCATTTAATAAATATTTTCTGAGTAGCTACTATATAGCAGGCATGTTGTAGACACTGAAAACATGAGTAAGCTTTACATATGAGTAAAGTCCCCATCCTCTTAGAACTTATATTCTAGTAAAATGTCAGGTGGTGATATTTGCTATAAGGAAAAATAAAATAGAGTAAGGAGAATGGAGTAGGGAAGAGGGGAAGTTAATTTAGATAGGTCAGAAAAGGGCTCTTTCTCCAATGTTTGAGGAGATACTGAAAGGATATGAGGAATGAGCTATAAAGAGATCTAGGGGAAGAATATTGTGGGTATAGGAAATAGTGAGTGCAAAAGGCCTGAGAACGGAGTATTTTTGGAGTTTATGAGAAAAAGAAAGAAGGCTAGTGGGAAGAGAGTGAGGAGATAAAATGATAAGGGCTTGGTGGGGGGTGGGGCCACTGGCTACTCAAGTAAGGCCTCACAAACCAGTAGAATGACTGGTTTTTATTACAAGATGAGAAACCACTGGAGGGTAGTAAGCAAAGCAGTGTCATGATCTGATATATATATATATATATATATATAAAATCTGATATACATTTAAGAGACTTGTTATAAGCCAGGTGCCAAATAATGGAGCATAAGGACCCAGGAGGTGGTGGGTTGTAAAAGTAGAAGAAACATTAAGAAGTGAGTTTTGTTTTTTTTTTAAATTATGGTAGAGCTGTCAGAACTCGCTGATGAATTAAATGGGAGAAAGAGGGGACTCAAAGATGACACCAAGGTTTTGGGCCGGAACTATTACAAGAACAGTACTTCTAATTACTGAAATGAAGGAGACAATGAGAAAGAGTTGAGAGATATGAAATAAAAAAACTTTACTTTGTACATATTAAATGTGAGATTCCAATAAACTTTCCAAGTAGAGATATCAAGTAGATAGTTACATTAAAAAGTCTCAGCCTGGGGACTTCCCTGGCAGTCCAGTGGTTAAGACTCCACACTCCCAATGCAGGAGGCACGGGTTCGATCCCTGGCTGGGAGCTAAGATCCTGCATGCCACATGGCGCGGCCTAAAAAAAAAAAAAAAAAGTCTCAGCCTGGCCATGTAAACTTGGGAGTTTTATGAATGTATAGATAATATTTGAAGCCATAAGACCACAAG